AGAAGTAATGAATTACTCACGTGATCTGAACGCTAGAATTGGAGTCCAACTACCCTTACTTTGTCCTTTATGCCTAGAGACCACATCTGAGCTCTGCTTTCTTGACTATAAAATAGGAATTATACATATATTCTGGAGGGCAAGGATTAAATGAAATATCCTTGTAAAGAACTTAGTATTAGTAGTATGCCTTCCAACAGATAGTAGCTATGGAAAGAAAAAAGAGTCACTAATATCTTCACCCGAACATAAAGAAAAGTAATCAATCTTTGGACAAAACAAAGTAGAAACATCGTCGAACTTGCACTTAAAAAAATTGAAGTTTAATATAAAATATGAAAGCTTTTTTTATGTTTCTATGGTTATAAAAGCAATTCATGCTTAGACCAAAAAAATAAAAATCACTCAAAATGCCACCACACATAGATAATCACTGTTAATATTTTGGTGTATATTCCTCTAAAAGTTACACACACACACACACACACGCACACGCACACGCACACACACAGAGGCAAGTTTTGTGTGCATTTTCTAAACAAATGAGATTAATTCAATTCTGTGTTCCCTTAAAAAAAAAAACCCTCCAAATGAAAAAAAAATAAAGACCTAAACCCCTCAAATTAGAGTATAAAAGAAACGCTATTTTACAAATTATTTTTAACTTAATATACCACAAGTATTTCGTTCTCTGCAATAGAGAGCAAATACTCATTTTTAGTGTCTAATATTTCACTGAATAGTAAACTTCTAGTCTCTTTTAAGCTAAGTTGCCCTTCTTTTCATGTAAATTCTAAGGACTGCTACTATAATTGACTCAATCACCTTTTTCTCAGATTTTCCTATTATAAACAATGCCATGAACATCCATCTTTGCCTACTTGGAGGGCATGACAGGCACATTTTAAATTATGATATTCATTGCCAACTTGCCTTCCGGAAAAAATGTACCGATGTACATTTCTACTGACAAAGTGCTTGTATTCCCATACCCTTGCCTACCTAGGTTTGATTTGAAATAAAACCCTACTTTTACTACAATTAATAGTGAAAAGCTTTAGAATTGATTAGGAAAAAAAGTATTTTGTTTACATTAAGAAAGTATCTGAGGAAAACAAAACACACACACACACACACACACACACACACACACAGATTAGGAGGGAAAAACAACTTAGGATCTCAATACTCAGAAATCCCCATTCAATTGGGAGCTCGGTTTTTCATCATCCTGCTCACTCTGTCTCACCATTTGTTTGTTTTTGTTTTATTTGTTATGTATTACTTTTTAGTCATCATCTGTGGTGAGAAGGGAGAGAATGCATGAAAATAAAGAAACTGCGGGCCTCCAAGAGTGCCTCTGGGTCTGGCCTGTGGCTTGGGGACCAACTTCCCTTGGCTCTACCACCGCACTGAGGAGAGCTCTACCAAGCTCTCCTCAGTGCATATTTCATGAAAATGGGAAAGTTTCAAACGTTTACCTCCAACATGATAATTAAACTGTTTGCTCTAACTTCTGGGGCCATTAGCCAATTTTCATAATGATCAGAATCCATGATGACTGTATGTAATCAAAACCTCAGATTATTTCAACTTAGCACAAGTGTCACAGGGGAAAAAAAATGCCCATTGCAGGAGAGTAAGTACCAACAGAATATTCTAAATCAGAAGCTTAGTCAGCTTTAGAAGTACTTTATATCTCAGATAGAATGCTTTACATCAATTGGGTAAAAAAAATTCACCTTATATTTTCTTTAACCAGTTAGAATGGCCCTAGGGACAGAATAATAGCAGGTATAAAATGACAGGAAAAAATTTAGATAATGCCTTCCTTTTTGAACCATTATTTAGAGATCCTTCAAGTGTTCACAGAAAGATCTATGAATCCAACAATAAAAAGATCACAATTTAGCTTTATAGTTACAAAATATTGTATCACTTCAGACCAAGTTGCTGGTTCGGACTTAGTAGGAAGTGCCGCCCACCTCCTGTGCAGCATCAATGTCTATAATGAGTAAACACTCATTCAGAAGACTCGCAATCCAGTTACCCACTACACTGGATCTGTTTTTACTCTGACCCTTAGTTCATTTACTAAACGGATACTGAGTATTATTTACTGGACAGCAGTGAAGAACAGAAATTAAGTCCTTTCTCAGATTCTAACTGGAGAGACAGACCACAAAGTACAGCAGGTCCTGGAATAACACCATTTCATAACGTTGATGAGATGCTATAGGAACTTAACTCTTGTTGATGAGATGCGATAGGAACTTAACTCTTGTTTATAGCACTTAGCCTATGGTAAAACTGGTTTCACTTAAAGTTGCAGAACATATCCTGGATGTTAAGTGAGAACTTATTGTATAAATGTTAACAAATAAGATAATTTCAGGTAGTGATAAGAGTTGCAAAGATAACAGCCAGTGTATTAGGTAGTGACTTGGTGGGAAGAGAAAACTTTCTTAGAGATAATAAAGAAAGGCTTATCTCAGGAAGTGATATCTGAGCTAGACTTTAAATAAGATAAGGTCATTCATGCGATGATCTGGGAGAAAAATGTTTTGGACAGAGAGAACAGCAAAAGTGAGAGAATGAGGTTGAAGTGTTTGACAAAAAGAAAGGGGGCCAGTTTGGCCAGAGCACAGAGACTAAAGGAGAGAATGAGAAATGAGGTTAGAAGAGGCCAGATTTTGTAGAACCTCAGAGGACATGGCAGAATTTGAATCTGATTCCAGGAGCAGTGGAAAGCCATTAAAGGGCTTAAACAAGAGAGAGACATGACCTGATTTCAGTTTTTTTAAAAAATCTCTGGTGGCTCTGCAGAGCATGGACTGCAACAGAGCAAGAGTGGCAATAAGGAGATCAATAGAACTGATCAATTGAAACAAACGGTCTGTGAGAGATGCTAAAGGCTTGGGCTAGGATGGTGATGGGAACTGAGAAGAATGGGCAGATTCAGGGTCCATTTCAGAGGTGAACTGACATGACTTGCTAACGAATTACATGTGGCCAATGGGGGAGTGAGGGGAAAAAAAAGGAAATCAAGGATTACTCCTGTGCTGGAACTTGAGCAACCAGGTGGATAGTGGTGCCATTAACTGACATGGGGAATACTAGGGGAGGAACAGATTTGGAGTGGAGAGTGGGGGCAGTCAAAGGTTCTGTTTTGGGCATGTTAGTACTGAAGATCTAACAGTGGCATAAGCTGGGGTATAAACAGCATATAGATGGGATATAAAACTCACAGGACAGAATGAGATCACTTGGAGAGAAACTAAAGATAGAGCTCTGAGACATGCCAACACTGATTGCATGGGAAGAGGAGCCAGAAGAAGAGGGGAGACCCAGGGAAGGAGGATATTCGGGAGAGTGTGGGGTCAAAGAAACAGAGATGAGAAAGTGTTTTAAGAAGGGAAAAGTAACCATGTTAAATGCTGCTGGCAGATTGAATAAGTAAAGAACACTCACGAGTGAATTTAGCAAGATGAAGGATACAAATAAAGAAATAAGATGAGAAAAATATGTTATAAAGAAGGCATTTGCTGCATGGTTCCATGAAGAGATTTAAATAACTGTTCCCATGAATATGTTAGATGACGGAGGAATAAGGGATCAACTACAGAAGCCTGTGTCTTGATGTGCAAGTATGTTCAGAACTCTAGGTCTGTCAGCGGAAAGCTGCATGTTTTAGGCAGGAGAAAGTGAGGCAGTAATTAGTCAAAGGTCACGAGTGAATAAATTGTGAATTATTTCAATGATTTACAGTGTTTATTAACCGAAGAGAAATTGATCTTGATACATTTGACTCATTCGTAGTCTTAAGCAAAAACACTTAATCTGGGCTTTATATACTTTAGCATGACTGTACCCATGCTACTTCTAATTAATGTTGATTTTGAATTAATAGTAGCATAGGACAGTTATTTTTGGTGCTTTTCTAGCTGTGTAAATACCCTTATTACATAAAAGGACTAAATTTAATCATAGAATTTACCATGCTAGCAATATTTATAACTTTATTGTGAACCCAATGTTTTAAACATCTGTCCTTCATTTACTATATCTTAAATATAGACTTTTATAACACAGGCCAAATTATAAGTAATTACACAAAGACACTAACTATAGCATAATAGTACTTAGAGGAAAGAACAAAATTTCTAAGAAAAGAATTTCTTAATAATTAACACTTTAGGTTGTAACATTGTCTTCCATAAAAACATATAGGAACCTATCTGAAATAAGAAGGCATTTTTAAGAGAGCTCCTGGAAGAATAAACTTTACAATATTGAAAATGTTGAAATCAGCTCTTTTAAGGGGATGATTTGTGTTGTTTTTAAATGTCTTTTTCTTGTGTTAAAAACATGTAATGTTTTCATTAAATAACTAGTTCTTCAACAAAGACTAAGCATTTGCTTTTGATCAAGCTATCACTTTTAAAGCTAAACAAATTTAAAAGAAAACTTCAGCAAAACTCTTGCGGTATCAAGCTAAGTACATTTTGACTTCCCTTCTCCAAAGAGTGGGGCAGCGATGACGCAGGAAGGTGCCCTCCTGAATTTCCCATTCTCGTGCCCTGGAGAGGGGAGTCTTCCTTGGCAGCAGTGCGGTAGTATTCAGAATTTACACGGAAAAAGGAGCAGTGCAGCCCAAGGGGACTAAAAGTTACCTTGCTCCGCTTGACTATGATTCACCAACATCCTAAGAGTCTCCTTTCCAAACAGACTCCAACCTAAAAGTTTCTTTATCTAACCCAAGGGCCCAGGTGAAAGTAAAAACTGCCGACGGAAGGAGGAGACCGCATCCACGCCCTGGGTGGGAAGCGCTCTTCTGCGTGACATTTTCCTCCCAAGGCTGCTCCTGTTTCACTACCAGGCTCTAGCCTGCATCTCACTCTGGTGGTACCACTGAGGACAGAGCGAAGAAAAGTGATCTGAGACCCGCCTACACCTGGGCCACTTGCCTTTGTGTCTCCTCCTTACTCCCCGCCCCTTACCTGGGTCATTTTGTCTACAGAGACTGGAATTCCATCGATGGTAAGAGGCGGCAGCTCTGAGTTAACCTCCTGTGGCACAGGGGCGTGTTCTGCCAGGGCAGACTCCAGGTTCTCCAGGATCATGCTCTTGTACTTACGCACCTGCAGGGAATTAAGGGCAGAAGTAAACAAGATGCCCAATAACCAGGGAGGTTGGTGCCAAGCAACCAGAGGGGGTGGGGCTGGCTTCCCTCAGTCATTGTAGAGCCCTTAAAACAAACACTTCTACAACTAGTAGATAAAAACACACGCTGGCCTCAAAGATATCACATTAAATGAAAAGATGATGAAATTATAGGTAACAACAGTAGAAAGGAGCCAGTGAAAAACGTTTTACAGAAATACTGCTTCTCAATTAAAAATCACATTTTCTGTCAATGCTGGCCCCATCACTTGTTCCCGATCTAACAGGAATGGCATTCATTATTCGGCATTTCTCAGGCTCTTTAATAAAACCTAGCTGTGGCAGTTAATCATCAAAATCATTTTCAAGATCACCAACAGCTTATGTCTCTAAAACTCTAAGCAACCTATCTGAGGTTGCTGCTTTCCTGCAAAGCCAGACTACCAAACAGACTGGAGATTCAAGTACATGAGAGGCTGGACTGAAAGGCATCAGAGAAAAAAACAAGAGGTATTTATTGTAGCTGGGTGTCAACAATCAGCAAGGCCCCGGGCCAGAGAGAGTCCCACAGGTCAAGTCCTCCTCCTTTCTGGTACTCCCTGGTGACAGAGATGCACCTTAAACCCAGGATACTTCCATGGCTCTGACAAGCCCAGATCATATTGCCCAGAACACGTATTGTTCTGACTCCCTTCCTTCCACTGCTAGTGAAAAGTCTCTCAAAAGACAGGAGACTTTAACAGCAGCACACTTGTACATGCACACATTCTTCTATCGGGAGCAGAAACAGTAGAGAGACACTGGATCCTACTATGGCCAATAATGGGTTTGTTCATTTACAAGAATGCACACGGGGGATGAGGAAAGCTTTGGGGACAACAAAGAAACCGTGGAATTATGAAAATGTGACAAGATGGGATAGGAAATGAACTCACTTTCAGGGTTCAAGCCACTATCTTAGAGAAAAAGAGAAGAGAAAATGAGGTTTGCCCAGAAGATACAACATGTTTGAGTCCTGGGTCTTCTGCTGAGTGGACTGGAATCTCAACCAGGACATACTTCCTTATAAGTAACTCATTATGAGGATTAAAAAAGATTCCCATACTCTGCCTCAAGCATATGGAGAAGTAAAAATTACCGGCCATAAAGTGTGACTTTTACAGTTACAAAACCTTCGAAGTAGGTCAACAACAAAGGGGATAAAAGAAAAATAGTGCAAAAATATAGAATCATGATCACTCTAGAGATTTGGTTTTATCCTGGTTTGTAATAAAAAAGAAAGTTTCATAAATTGTTGCCAATATATTTATTGTAACATAAGCAGCTTGTGTTTCTACAGCAACTTTAAGGATTTATATTTTCTGCTTTCTAGGTTTCTGGTCTTTGAACTTTACTGTATGAGGTTAAATCATTATATTAGCATGTATGTCCATGTAGTAAGAGTGAATGATAATAGTATAAAAATAAATTTCATTGTGCTGATAACACCTGTCACTCAGAGATGGGAAATCATTAGATCATTAATATTACATTATTAGCTAGTTTCAAATTCATCCATATTTATGGGTCAGTAAATTCTAGGAATTTATATCTAGACATTTGCTAAACTTATCAGTACTATATAATTCCTCAAAAATATCTTATTTCAAAAAAAATGCTGGTAGAGCATCCCTCAGCCTAATTTACAACAAAACAACTTCAAGTATGACCACAGTACTTCTAAACTTGTTTAGTAAAGTAACTTTCCCAGAATTATAAAGCTAGTGCTTCGATTCAATCTGATCTATCATTTCTGAGGTGTATATATTTTTTTTCACATTTATCAATCCTCTGAAATTGGGATACAACTTAAAATTGCTGTGGACCAGACAACATGAGGCATAGTAGTTGTCACCGCACATATGTGAGCATGGCTAGGGGCATGACTACAATACCTTGCCTTTTTAATCAAAAAACCATTTAGCACCATTTGAGAAAGAAATGAAGGTCTTAATTGTTTCTGATAACTTCCTCAGTGATCTTTCTGGTAAGATCAAGAAGCACCAAAAACAAACGTCACAGCTTGATAAAAAGTCTGAGAGACAATAAATGAGCACTTTAAAAAAAATGCAGCACCACCCATGCTCTTGATGGCATAGCGGACAATATTACATGAAACTACACAGATAATGATAACTTTGAAACAAGAATTCAGAAGTGTTGGACTCTGAATGTGAAGTTTTAGGAATATCAATTTATTTCACTTACATTTTTTTTTTATATATAAAAGCAATATGATTAAAATTTCTAAGTCAGCCTGAAAGAATTCTTTCAATAAATATAAAATAAAAATGCAGAGTGGTAAATAATTGTGTCAGAGTTTGTCAATATTTTTTCTTCTTGGTACATATATAATGGTGCATCTTATAATTGATGGTGTCATAAATATGATGAAATACTGGTTTTTTTGTTTTCTGACTTCTACCTTCTGGTCTCAAAACCACAGCTTAAACCTTTGTCATGTCACACCAAGATATCACTGTCAACTAACTGGTTTCACAATTAAAGATAAAAAACATTTAACAAAATCATCTGGTCTGACTACCAATCTCTCTTCCCTCAATTCATCCTGCATATCACTGCCATTTTAAATTTCTGAAACACATTCACTTATTATAATCGAATACCATTTACTGAGCACTTACTATGTGTCAAGCACTGCATATATTATTTCAATTAATCCTCGCATAATTCTACAAGGAAAATACTATTATACTCATTATGAAGGTAAGAAAACTAAGGCTTAAAAAACTTAAGTAACTTTCCCCAAATCATAAAGCTAGTATATAGGAGTATAGCTGGAAATCAAACTAATTTTCATCTAGCTCCAAAGCCTGTATGTTCAGCCACTTCATTGTCATTTCTCATTTTTTTCTCAAAAACGCTCCTACAGTTCCCTACTTCTAATAGGAGGAAGTCCAAACAGTCCAGCATTTCGACCTTTCTAATCATTCCCTACTTTCCCAATACTCCTCCACCAGATACACTTGTGGCTGTCCAGCCCTGCAGACTATGCAAATTGCACTGTCTTGAGTTCCCAGCATACAACCTATAGAATCCTACTGGACAATGTTGCTTACCTTCCTCTCTTTAGCTGGCTGGTCCCCTTACTAACTTTTGCATCTAGCAAGTTCTTTTCTTACTTCTGGGTCATTAACTCTACTTTTAAACCAACTATTGCCCATCTTTCAAGGCCCAACTCAATTTCCATTTCCTCTGAGAAAACGTCCCAAGTGTTCCTGCCATCATTCCCTTACTCCTTTAAACTTCTACAGTCTCAAATGATTATGTGTCACTAACATTGTTATTTCCAGGCTACACTGTACACAACTAGCAAGTGCCTGACATTGCTGAGCACAGGAACTGGTCTCTTGTATATTTTAAAACTTTTATTATCAAATATTTCATATATTCAGACATGTACAGATAACATATTAACAAACATTTTCATGATTACCAAAGATAGAGAAAGTTTAAGGTATGAACAGGAGCTATTAGAGTTCTGGGTACAGAACGTGCTCTGTTGAGGATTTAGGAATTGGCTACTACAAAATTAAGGGCCCTTAGGTTGCAAAAATAGTCCCAGACAAGATACCACAATTCCTTGTATACTTGAAGCTTTTCTGGATAAAATTAGAGTCTTCAGGAAGGTCCCATAAAAGATTTTTTTTTTTTTTTTTACCTACGAGCTCCTCTGAGATTAAAAATATATTCCATCTGAGATATATAACAAAGAGATGTCCCAGTCAGAGATGCCCTCAAACCTGTGATCCCATAGCACATCTGGCACCTAGGATGTGGCCCGTGAAGTTATGTTGGCTCTTCCTGTTCTCTCTCCAGCCCCAGCGTCAGCTTCTTTCCTCTCGGTCCAGATTTCTAGTTTTCCCCTTGCCCCTTGGGTCCTTGGTTTTGAACCTTGAAACCAACCTCAAAGGACCTGGATGGAATCCTCATCTCATACTTTGTATCTAACACTGTTATTTGTTGAATAATAAGTAAATAAACATTAGGGCTTTTACTTTATTACTTCTTAAATAGGCTTCCACATATCATGTAAGTTAAAGCCATTTTTTAAAACCTATATAAATAACTGAATGCCTTAGAATAAGAAATTACAACCAACTTCAGAGTCCGCTTATATACCGGGAAAGTGGAATTTATAAAAGCATTAAGATGATTTGATTAGGAAGCTGTTGATTACCCTAAAGCTACCTCTTGCTTCTGTGATTGTGACTAATTTCTAGACCTGTGGAATTGGTTAGTCATACCCAGTGTGTCTCCATCTAAATGCTATGGATTACTGACTCTGAATTGAGTTCTACCTTCAGAAAACTCCTACAGTTCTTCTAGAAAAGAAAAAAGGAAATTCTCTCTCTGTCCTTCAACAAAATATATCTAGGCCCACTCCTATAAAGCTCATAAAAGTACGTGATGTGGCAGTAAGCCACCAAAAGAATGCCTTCAGGGCAGAGCAACTTTAAAAATCTATCATTTGCCAATGCTTTCATGCCAACTTTCTGCGAACATAATATACAAGGGGGATGATAATCAACTTTAATTAATTTCTACTGCTCCCCAGTGAAGTAAGTATTATTCTTACTTTACATATGAGGACTCTGAGCCACAAACAGGAAAAATCAATGTGGAAAACCGCTCAAAAAAAATCAAAGCTTACAAAGAGTTTTCACGAAAGTGGAGTTTTTTCGAGCTACATATGCACACTATAGTGAATATCAACCAATGGGCAGGACTGAATTAGCCCGTCTAAATGCTGATAACTCTGTTTTACTATGGGAGCCATGCCTTCACTAAGCATGATACTTCACTAAGGACCCAAATACTAATAGAGTGATTATCAAGGTTTTTTAACTTGCTTTGCTTTAAAGAGCAGAGGCTTAAAAAAAATTAAACTGCAGAAGACCTAAGAACCAAAAGTAGT